TGTCAGTCATTATATCTAGTAATTTACTTAAGAAACCTGTTGTCGAGAGCAACAATCTGTTTCTCTTCACGTATCCCTTAGGAATCCATGTTTTTGTAAGGTTTCCTTTACTGATTTTGAGATTGTAATCCCCAAGTTAGACGATAAGGTCAGTGTAAGCGATATATGACCGTTATTCCTGCTATTTGAAAATATCAAAATGTTTAAATGTAAAGAAAAGTTTACTAGAAAAAAATCCACGCGGACCAGGCAGCGGACGGGACTCGAACCCGCACCCTTCGCAATCCGGGCGAATGCACTGACCATTATGCTACCACGGCCCTATTGGCCGCGTCGAAATTTTCCCAGCCTTAAGCTGCAAGGCAGCGCCATCTCTTCGCATTGTAGGCAACCCACAATGTCAAATGAATACTTTTTCAAGGTACGGGTTCGAGTCCCGTCCGCTGCCTGGTCCGCGTGGATTTTTTTCTAGTAAATTTTTCTTTAGATTTAAACAACTAGTAGTTAAATGCTTAAAAATAAATAAAAACATAATACCAAAATGGTTGAATGTTTAAGACGGTTTTCTGTCCAATTGGTCGTTAGTCTTTGTGACATCACCTTTATCTGTTATCATTGTTCTTACTCAAAAACCATAACAATCATTTATGATATTAGTGCGGTAAGTTGGTTGTTACAAACGAGTAGACAAATTTAAGCCCGTGAGTAAGTAGAGCATTTATCATAGTCTCTAGTTTGTAAATATCGATTCCGCACGAATGTCATACAACGTTCTTCAACACATTTGGGAGAAAACAGTACCTATACCTAATTTAAGCATGAAACAAACTTTTTCTAATAAGGAAATTGCGGGCAGTTCTATTGGCGATACGTGTGGGTGGTGAAAATTGGAACTACATCTTTCGCCTTTTTTTCTTTTTGAAGTTATACTTCTTTAGGCGCGTTATGAAAAAATGATGAGAGTGAAATTTTTAGATGCGCGCGCATCACTGTAACCCAAAAATAACAGCATGAAGTTGGCCGCGGGCGCGTTATGAAAAAATCATGTGAGTGAAATTTCGAGATGTGCGCGCATCACTGTAACACAATAGTAACACCATGAAGTTGGCCGCGGGCGCGTTATGAATGTTAGTGTAGTGAATTAGACATCTGTTCGAAAGGTACTTTGAACGATCCACGGAGCTCCATAAGACGATCGCGTTGTCAAAAACAATGTTGGCACGCTCGTCGCCTCTGATCACTGTTTTCATATTTATAATATTTATCCACATGTTTCTAGTTTCTATATAGACACAACGTGTTTTAGTTACTTACAAGTGCTAATTACATATGGACTAATAACTTAAATTCAGTAGTGATTTTAATTGAATATTTTGAATATTTATTTAATTTTCCAAATTAAAACTGAACTTAATTGACTGTGTTAACTATCCTTTTCCAGTCCTTTTATTATTTTATTGTAATTATTAATTATTTGCATGCAATTAAAAAATATTTTTAATGATGCTAAAGAAGTATAACTTCTCAAGCGCGTACATAAGTTACACGCATCCATTTTTTAGTAATAAAGAGTATTTGTGGTATAGATTAAAATCGCTTCCAATGAGGTTCATCCGAAATAGAAAAAAATACCGTAAAGTATATGCACGGCGCAATGTATGGGAGCGTGCGGTAAATTCAGCGTATTAATTATTATCCTATTGAATATTAAAAAAATCTTATAATGGATTATTAATGAAATTGTAATTTTATTTTATTTTTGCGTTTTACAAATATGAATGGAAATATTCCTTTTGCATGCTATATCATTTGGCTAAATAGACTTAAAGCTACCTTCATATTTTTAATAACATGAACATTACAATGGAACTACCCTTAATTAATTAGGTTAATTAAAGTATTTGAATTGAATTAAAAAAATATTTATCGCACGCTCCGTTGTAAGGCCTGTAATTTTGGACTTTCGAACAATGTATAAAACCTCCGTAAATACATTTTTGAGCATATATATTGAAAAAGTACTAACGTATCGTATGCATCCATAAATGTATGTAGGTTAGTACCCATGTATAAAAAGAAGCAGCGATCAGAGAGATTAAAAAAAACAATATAATAGATTGACACTTACCCTGATTTGTAATGTTTCATAATCCATTTTTCTTTTTCACAATATTAATCTATGTACTTTAAAAACAATATGAATCACAGATAACAATATTTTGACTATTCTTATATTGCGTTGCATAGCCGACTATCCGCACACAATAGTTATCCAATAAGACTCAGTTCACTAATAATATAATTCAGTGTATTGATTACCTATTTGTTATCAGTCGGTCAGAACAAAAAGTTCGATAAAAATGTGCAAATAATTGCTACTACTGTTTTGGGATATTTTTACTTTAGAGAAAGTTATTTTATGTCTACGTACTTATAGAATAGTTGAAATGGCACCGTGGACAGTGCATTCGGTCTGCGATCAGGAAATTAACAACTTACTCAATGGCGACTCATAAGATGGATGACCAGATGAATGATGATAGGTCACTCTTGGCTCGTGCTCATCCTTGCCGGCACTAACTAATAAACTCACTCTGAGTTTATTAGTTAGTGCCGGCTGCATCTGCAGTCGGTAACACCAGATCTGCACCGATGGGTCTTTTTTATTTCTCCTCATCAGGCGTGTGTGAAATATTCTTGGGCATCTGCTTTAGGGCTATGGCTATAGTCAGACACTGACTTAGGCACACCCGTGGGAGGACGTCTTTGTGCAGACGGGCCACAAAGGTTTCATCTTACGCGATCGTCTTCTAAAATGGGGGCCGATGCGGTGTGAGTTTTCTGCAAATATTTATTACAGTTATTTAGAAAATGAAACGAAAGTCCCTATTGCAACGCACACTAATCGCAATGGTAACTCAATCGCCGCACCTCGGGATAAGCTCCCGAACTTGATTGGTAAACTCTCTGTAGCTTACGTCTCTTCGTGGCCTAACTTACGTCTCTCCGTAGTAACAACTTTGTACTTTGACAGTTTGCTCGAAACTGTGTCTCATGAACTCTAGAGGAATGGAATAAAGGCAAGAATTGTTTTCTGATGATTGCAAAACGCAAGTACTGTTTTCTGATAAAGCTAGAATCACTTTGTGTGGAGAGGACTGACGCGTGCGAGTGCTACTAAGACCACAGGAATGCTATGCGGAAGTGTGTTTCGAAGAAATTGCGATAGCTTCGTTATGTTTTGGGCAGCAATCAATTCGACGGAGCGTACGGAGTAAGTTTTATAGAAAATGGAACATTAAATGTACCGGTACACAAAAAACTCCTCATTCCATATGCTCAACCCGCGTTGACTGCATTAGTGGAAGATTCCTTTTTATGGACGACAATGCTCACCCGCATCGTTCTGGCTATGTGGAAACGTACATGCAAGAAGTTAGGATCCGTCGTTTAGATTGGCCAGAAGAATTTAAGCTGTGATTTTGACACGAGGAGGTCACACTTGTTATTAGGTTTTTCATTTGTAACTTTATTTAATTAAAAATAATAAAATCTTCATGTCTTTATTGCCGACCACTTTTTATTATTTGGCCGTGTACATCGGTTTTCAAGAATTCATCGAAAATTAATAAAACAATTGCCAGAATTCACTTCACGTATTTTAATTTACACGATTATAAGTATACAGACTTCGTCAAACAAATAAATTTCATTTAATTAACTGAAATCGACCTTAAAACGCAAATTTCCTTAGGTGCCCGTTTTTTTTGCAAAAGAGTGTAGTTTACGGAATCATTGTATGCTTCAGCTATTATAATATTAATGGTCTTAAAAGGTAATGAGTACCAAATTTCATGGTTATCATTTTTTAATTAAAATTCTTATAAACCCAGTTTGCATGTACATATTAACGTATATAAATAGTAACATTTCCTGCTTCTCTATACTAAATTAATCTAATGTGATTCTTCCAACTCCAGTTGTTTGGTGACGAGTGCTGTTACATTTCGTCTCCGTATACGGCCTTGACCATCACGGTACGTAGCCACAAAGTAGATAGTACAGAAGGTAATCTCATATATGTACTTACTTCACTTTTCATACCTACGCTGTGCTCGTCGGTCGCGCTAGGATTGCCAATTTTGGCTTATCCAAAAAATCAAAAATTTGGTAGTAGAACCCGCATCTATTCGGTTGATTTATTGTCGAAAATGGAACCAAAAGAACAGATATATGGACCAATAATAACTAAAACATTCTAAATTTAATGTAATAATTTACAATACTATAAAAAAAACAATTTACTGTTTAATGTTAAATTTCAACAACTTTAGTAGACGTAAAGTTTTTTTTATTGCTATATATTTGCACAGAAATGTTTACAGATGCGAGTCTCAAGCGGATGGAATTCGCACTCGCAATAGTCCCAACTGTTCCGACCTCCGAGATTATATCATGCCCGTGAGCGGTGTCTGTCTCCGTTGCTCACACGCGCACTTTGTATGTAGATTACCTTCTGTTCTGTTTTGTGACGTAGCTAAGCTTTATTAGTGCCAAAACTATTAAAGGTCTCTGAATGAGATGCCGTATAAAAACTTCGTGATTCATTCTTCGCGTAATAAGTACCTAACTGTAATCAGCAAACTACGGCGAACGACCGACGCGACGAAGCGACGACCACTCAATTCCCTATCAACATTACACAAAATGCGTGCTTCTTTACAATAAATAATCTTGTTCTGAACGCACCCCTTTCGAATACGCATGCGCGGGCTTGCGTCGCTACCCGTCACCCTAAAATTATAACCTAAAATTTTAATCAAAATAGTGCTTTCTTACCTTACGTTGCCGGTGTATTTTATAAACTTTTCTATTGCGCGTTTGTGTATGTTTACTACGTAACGACGGCCACTTCGCCATTGGCTGGAATCATCGAATCATTGGCTCCTAATTACGATCACTTAAAAGCATAGCTTTAGTGTAATATTTATTTGGTCGGGCGACTGCTGTGGTGCTGAATTAAAGTCGCATTGTTCAGTGTATTGTTGATAGCGACAGCATCGAGACACCAAATGGAATGATTCAGATTGTAGATATCGCTCAGGTACAGCGGTGATTAGGTTATCACGTGTCTCTTTTATTTTGCGAGAGTTGCGGTGACCACCTGTGTGTTCTATATCAGTAAGTTTTTATATTTGTTTTTCACTGTCTGATACGATATATTTACAATATATAATTGTATAACAATAATACTTTGCAATTTATCCATTCTAGCCTTATATTTTAAGAAGTCGTATTCTAAGTAGTTAATTGTTTATTTTTATCATATCTATTCGAAATAATATTAACTCCCGCGAAAATATTGTACCGGACACTAAAAATGCTATTTGTTGAATGTAGTTAGTCTCATCCTCTATGAGAAAATAAGTAAATGTTAAAATTAGAATGTTTACGTCAGTAGCAACACTGTTTAGAGCTCGAACTGTAGTCTTTCGCTCCGCTCTGGGGGAAAAAGACACTCGCGCCTTTAAAATAGTTTTATTCTGCATTTAGCTAGTGAAGATTATTTTATTATTTTTATAAATTAAAGGCTTATTTGCATTTTTCTTGTATTTATTAGTAAATTAATGATTGGGTTGATTTTTTAAAGTAATAGGATAATAAAATATTTGTTTCTTAGGTTTTCACGCACATCACTCATTAAATTAAACTAGTTTAACGGATTAATGCAGGAAACTTTATTTATTTATTGACGTTTCGCAGTTTCAGGTCTGCATCGTCAGAATAATGATTTTTTATTTAATTTTGTCAACCTACCTTCGAAGGACTTTTATTGAGCGTTCGGTTATTTCATTGAAATTTTTTTAAAAATTTATTTTCTATGTATGAATTTATTAGTAAATTTAGTTAATAAAATACTTTATTTAAAATTCTTTTTTGTAATTTTGAGTTTATTTATTTGACCCTAACCACCACCACCGTAAATAATAAAACCGTAAATATAAATAAATAAATAAATTTTCGTGCATTAACCCGTTAAAACTAGTTTTAGGATATTTAAATATAATATTTTATCCTATCACTACCCCCTAATCACTTTTTAATAATAATTAATGGTAAAATTAAATGTACAACTGTAAAAATGTGGCATTTCATTGGCATATTTCATATTTTTAACACAAAATGTTAGTATTAAAAGTCAAAAATGGCTATTTGTGTCCTTTTTACTTAAAATAATGTTTTAACTGTATTTTTTATATTATGGTGAAAGAGAAAATGTTGTTTATTTAATAAATTAGAATAAAATTAAATCCTTTAATTCAATAGTCTTATAGAAGTCGTTTAAACATTGCAAACTAATTTTAATTATATATTGTGGAAAAATAAAATATTTTATAATTTTTTTGCCCAAACCCGAGAAAATTTTTGATATCGATTTTCGCATAATTTACAAAATATTAGATGTACTTTTCTTAATTATGACGGCAGCATTGCTGTAAAAAAATAACGCAATATATGAAGGGCAGATTATTACAATATTGCATCAGATTTTAACAACCGGTAATAACGCGCTTAAGGGGCTGAGGCCTTATTCTTCCGCCAAAGAGTATTTAACTTCTTTCAATAGGGCTCTGTATATGGGTTCTCCAATGTTTATCTTCCATGGACATAAGATTGTTCTTCTGTCAAAGTCACTGCGTATGTGTGTATCGAACGCATAGTAAAGTAAGGGTCATGGAGCCAAAGCTCAATAAATGAAAAAAAAAAAATTGTGTCAAATGTGTATTGTTAATTTTATTAAATAATTCATTAATGGATGAACTCATTTTATATGTGTATTATATCAATGACAAATATACCTTATTCCTGCAGTTCCTGCATTCTTCACGTTCGTTCATGAGCAAAATGAGGTTAAAAGTACAAAAAACTTTTCTTTAAATACCTCACGAATAGGTATATTATCTACCTACTTTCAAATTAATTTATCGGTCAATATCATATTATATTATTTTATTATTATTGATTCTATTGATTACTACCTTCTTTATTCGTAAGTTATCATCGATCTATCAATTGCCTAATTACTTACAATGGTTTGTAAACGTTATATTATTTTTTAGTGTTCCGTACCTTAAAAGGAAAAATAGGAACTCATAAAGGATCACTTTGTTGCCCGTCTGTCCGTCTATCTGTCAAGAGCTTTTATCTCGGAAACGCGTGAAGGTATCGTGTTGAAAGGACATTGCTCGTTCCCCATACAATGAATGCCCTAGAACGCCCAGCAATGAGAAAATGCTAGTTGTGTTCGGAATCATTCATAAACTCTAATTAGGCATTTGTTGAGATACGGACAACTTGAGGAACCGTGGCCTACTACATACAGAATGTATTAGATTTTGAGATTATAATTATTATACTTAATCATCAATCAATTAAAGCATAAAATGAACATAAAATGTAATTAATAATAAAAAAAAATGCTTACATTCATATTGATTTATGAGCGTACCTGTAGATTTCTTTTCAAATGAAATGTTCAAAGTCTTTCCATTTACCTGTTTCTATATTTTAGTATCTGTAATTAGATATGTACCTGGTTATCATTATGATTTTCATAAAAATAAACAGATATTACATGGGATGGGAGTATAAACTATCTTTACATAATTTCAGAAATAATCTTTTTATTAATATAATATAAATACTAGTAATAAGTATTATTAACTAAGGTACCTAGTTCTATTTTTATGTTGATAAATACCTATGGTCGATTATATTGCATTTATTAAGGTAAACAATCTTGGCACAACTTTTTAACAGAATCACCCATTTAATAATAAAATATTAACGAAGCCAATAAACTATTAAAATAAATCGTTATTATAGACTGAAACCTACTGAATCCAGTTATCAGTTGATTTTTAATGCTGTATTTTCAATAAAAAGGAGTGCCAAGATTGTTTACCAAATAGGACAAGTTGGATAAACAGACTGTAGTATCTAGTAACAGAACTTAATTTTTTTAAACAGATTGTCCGTTTGCTATGAATAATTGCTAATAAGTTAAAAAATAATAGAAAAATAATAGTGAAGGACTTTGGGCATGCTAGGGTCGATTTCGTCGATGTCCTTTATGCCATGTAATCAAATTTACGGTCCCTTAAAGTCGTGATAAAAAAAAACTTTTTAGTTGGTGTGAAAAAGATACGGTCCTCTATCCTTCTCGGGATCGTGTGGAATTTTAAGGGTAAAAATACTCAGGGTATGTGGTTCCTGAAAGCTGTGAAAAATGGAAACTTTTTAGTTAACGTAAAAAGAAAGATCGGTCGTTTAGGTTGCTTAATTTTTTACCTAAAAATTTTTACAGAACCCTCGGTGGGTGAGTCCAACTCGCACTTTTTTAATATAAGAATTGTGTTCTTTTTGCTGTATATTTTGTACTAAATTAATTTTATCCTCGTTTAAATTTATATTAATATATAGAATTAAAAGAAACAAATTTCTTTTTAAAGTGAATCGAATATAAGTACGATACCTATAATACTCCTATTTAAATAGATGCGAAATCGATGGATATATATAGGAACGACGAACAATCACAAGAAACGTAAACTGAAATGACCTTGGCCATTGTATTTAAATTGTTAAAGGCAAACCTTTGAATCTCAGTGAAGACGGACACCCTTTAACTTTATTTTAAGAGGGTGCTTTGAGTGTTGCCTAAAAAGGGTTCTCTCTCTTGCATTTAATCACAATTTGTCTTGTAAAATAACCAATTCTCATTGGCTAGCGTATTATTGTATGCTGGTAGTGTAATGACGTGGTGCGTGGCATTTCATAAATGAAATTTATATATGTATCTATAAAAATGGAAATGAAATTTAATTAAGATTACTTTATTACAAAAACGCGAAAAGCTTTTGTCTTTTAGAAAATTTGTAGTAAAAATGTCATTAGCAGTAATATTGTTGCTTTGAGTACCGATTTACCGTTTACCGATGACGCGATAAAAATGTGTAGTCATCAAGTGTTCGTAATAAATTTAAGATTCATTGCAAGTAACGGGTTTTCATTACACCTATCAGCTTTAATCCACACCAATTCTACACATATAACGATTTCTTCGATGAAGTTCTTCGCACGATTGTACAATACTCCTTAAATAATATTAATATATGAGGTGTTTTGACGGGAATGTGTTTATGATTGAAAACCCAACATTTCCTTTTCTATCTATAGTAATTTGCTGCCTCGAAATGCTTCGAGAAAGCAGTGTACAATTCGTTAAAAAATAATCACTTCATGTGACGGATGACCCCGCACAGTGGGCGCTGCTCACAAAGGTAAAGACCAAGCATCAGCAGGGTATAGAAAGGACAGAGCAGCAATAAACCCTTACAAACGACCTGTAAAAACCTAAAAGGGATGAATGTTCCCCCGATTTTTTCGTAAGGTAGAAAATTCAAGGGCAAAGGATTTGTGAGTTACATCGAGGTAAGTGTGGTAGTGAAAATCGTGAAGTGTTAGCGCAAATAGGGCGGAAAGATTACCCGCTTAGCATCGCCCCATTACGTTTTACCAACTACGTCCATATCTCTCAGAAACAGGCGCGATAACTTCTTTGTAGAGACAGCATATTAAGAGAGTCAGTATTTTTGTATTATAAAAATCGCTAGGTTCCTATTCATACTCTATTCAATTTCCTCTGAGACAAAAGTTTAACAAATAAACCAATGTTATTATATATAACCTTTTTATTGAGAGTAAAGATGGCCAGTGTAATAAGACTGATTACAAAATTTCACATATCAACATAAATTATTTTGCTTTATCACTATTCTTTAATTTAGTATTGTTATAATGCGTTCAAGTTTGGGAATAGCTACAGTTTTAGGTCTTTTTAATGTCATTTTATTATTATTTTACAAGCGTATAAAAGACGACTTATTAAAAAACCTCATTATGGTTTGTTTACCTTTTGTCTCAGAGGAATTTATATAGAGTTGTCCGAAACAGACTTATGGAACGCGACGCCACCCGACATCACGCCACGCGTGTTTAGATGCTCTTAGGTGTGGAGTCAAATCAAAATATACTATTTTCTATGATCAGAATCACATTAGAAACATCCGACCAACGCGATGCGCCATAAAAATACGCGTCGCGTGGCGTGGGGTGGCGTCACGTTTCATGAGTCGATTTCTACCTTATAGCGCTTATATAGCAAACCATCCGCTCGAGTTAGGGTTTGTGTCTGGAGAAATTAACTTATAGGGTATCATACTCAAAGGGTGATGAGAAAGGGGCCCTAATATTAAAGCGCTTGTAAGTGACCTGTGTTTCATGAACTGGCAGAACAATTGGCAGATTGTTGAATTTTTAAATACTATTTATTGTATTTCAATTACCCGTAGAGGCACAGAGCACAGAAAGTGATTTTTGTGTTTTGTGTTATAGGTATTGACAAAAAAAAAGATTCTTTCAAAATGTTATGCTTGAACAAGTGTCAAATAATGTAAAATGGTACAAATCCCTAGTGGTGTTTAGTTGTAGTCTTCTGGGAGGTGCTATCCTTCTATGAGTCACTTTTTCTACCATTAGCTCGTGTGTGAATCCCATTTGCACGTGCCCGGATATCCTTTCATGTAACGTAACGATTGAATAAAACCGTGAGTATAATGAATAATTTCCAAAACTTTTTTATCTATTCTGATGATGTGTACCACGGATTGTATTGAATATGGTCGGTTTGATAACATGTGGAGTTATATACTGTCGATCGCTTGCAATCAGAACATTTTAACAATTAGCTTATACATACAGCAAGTTATAATTTTTATACATAAACAAATGGTTCCTCTTAGTCTTTATAATATTAGAATAGAATAATTACGCTAAACGTTTTTCGTGATTTCTTTATTCTGACTCTACTTTTCAGTTTCATTCTGAATTCCGAACATCTAGCCACATAAATCTACTGAAATTCCAGTTTCAGATACCTATACTCATTGAAATCTCCAGGATGTCGCATAAATTTTAACAAGATATTTGAATGTGTTCACTGTGCACTGTGCATTAGCCCATAAAGTGAAGGGATGCTTTAAAATGTAGATAATGAAAAAAAAATATGTTTGACGAGTTATACATACTTCTTTATATTTTGATCCTTTGCACATTGCGTTATCACTTGATTTAAGATTTTTTCGTCTTATAATTTTTAAAACGAGGTAGTAATAACTGTCTCAAAATATTTATTAGGCATATATTCATACTAGCTGTACCCCGCGTTGTTACCCGCTGCTTCTTAGGGATATTTTCCCGCAGTAAAACGTAGCCTATGTGTTAATCCAGGGTGTCAGGTAACTTCATACCAAATTTTAATAAAATCGCTCCAGAGCCGTTTAGACGTGAAGAAGTAACAAACATACACACTCACAAACTTTCGCCTTTATTAAGAATAGTGTGATTACAAAATATTTAAATAAGCCTTTACTGACTATTTTTAAAATTATGTATTCTACTAAACTAGCAAACCAGTGAACCAAATGTTCACCAAAAAAAAAATGAGAGATTTTGTGTGGTTTCGTTTGAAATAGAAATCACGTGATTTCTGGAAAACCGGAAGTGCTACGTTACTCACATCCGGTTTGTAGTCTTATCAGACTATTCTCAACTTATAACTAAAACATTCTCTTTATCTATCTCTTACGGTTTGGCCGCTGAAACAGCACCACGGACGGACGGACGGACTTGTCTATTAGATAAGAGATGTTGATGTTCGTAGAGGTTTAGATAAGAGATACAAGATGTTGGAATTTATTCATAATAACTGATCATATGTTGATCTAACAGTAGGTCAAAGAATTATAATATCACAAAAGATTCATCAATAGCTTTAGATCTTTAGATCAATAGAGAAAACTACTTATTACTTAACAATGAAAAAACATACAGAGCAAAATTAACAAGCACCTACTTTGTCACTTTCATCTTCATGTCGTCAGTTATTCATTAGTAGTTTTTATATTGATTCTATTTCTTAAATTTCAATCTTAACTGTCTGCAGTTTAGTGCCACGCTCAATTGTCAAATTACTATGGAGTTAGACGTGAAAAAAAACGTGATAAAATTTTATTTGTGATTCTGATTGATGCATTTTCATATCAGAACCACCTCTTATATTGCAGCATAGAGATTATGAACCATATTCCCTACTTATCAAAGATTTTATCATCTCCATTTTTGTATATCACACACTATGATTGCCATCAATAAATATCGTCTAGTCGTAAATTATGATCACGTCACGACTCGTACGACGAATTGTTTGGCGATATCGGATGTATGGGTACTTATTGGTCATTGTCTTGTAAAGTGTATTGTTATCGATATACATATGTATTTTAATATACAATGAAAGATAAAGCAGATGTGTGTTACTAAGCTGATATGAGATATTAAGGACGAAATAGAATTATGCTTATAAGAAGGAGGTTCGTTTCATTTCTGTGCGAGAAAAAATAATAGCTCTATTATGTAGAATTTAATTCCTAAAAACAATATAGGATTGTATTGGAGGTATTATTTATACGTACGATGAAAATTATGGCAATTAGTGTTGATGTGATTTTAATCTAGAACAGTATGAGCTATATAAATGCTGTATGCATTTATTTTATCGTATTTTAACGTATCTGTGACCGCGTCGCGTCGTCTGTCATTGATTAATTATATTCTTGAGTCTTAAGATAGTAACAATTCATTTCGTTTCTTGTTGCAGGTACTTCAGACGGCATCTCATTTTGTACGTTGTAGAATTTTAATCTATTGTGGATTATCCGCAACGATATTAAATTATCCGTATTACGATAGACTTTAGGACGCGATCCGATAACCATTAAGCCGGGGACCAATCATCTGTGATAACAACACATTTTACGGCCTTTTATCTTTACTAAACGAAGTAAAAATATGCCTAAAGAAACGTATTCTAAGAAAGACTGTGAATAGTGATAAAGAAAATAGTGAAACAAGACCTAAGTATAACAATATTCTCTGTGAAAGTTGAAGTGCCTAAACGTCATCGTAAAACAGTGAAACAAAAGTCTTTATTCAAGTGTAATTTATGTGTATAAATTTTTGAAGTCATTTTAATTATGAAGGAAATAGTTTTAGTGAAAATATGTGAATAACTGTAGTGCAAAATGATATGTTTCAGTTCGAGGAAAACAATTTAACCAAAAATCAATTTCGATTTTGTTACAAAGCCAAAATAAAACATGTCTTTCCGAATTGATAGCAAAACGAATGGACTCTCACCTAAAAAGTCCAAGTCTCAATTGTTTTCGACTATAGATTCTCCTAACCAAGATACTATACCGGGTAGTGTGATGGACGGTTTAACCCTCGATGTGAATGAGCCAACTTACAAAGTCTACTGGACAAGATGGGTAATGTTGGCGTTTTTCGTGATGTTCTCAGCATCTAATTCACTGCAGTGGGTGCAGTACACGATTATACAGGACATTGTGGTGCAGTACTATGGTGTTAGCAGCAACTTGGTGTCGTGGACTTCGTTGGTGTATATGGTGACATACGTCCCGCTCATCTTTCCAGCGAGTTGGCTTCTCTCCAGAACGGTAAGTGGCTTTATAACATTCATTAGAGGTGTTCAAGATAATGAGCAATTCAGATTTTTTGAATTGCTTATTACCAGAGGTTGATTAATCATTCAAACTTGCGTACTTATAATTGCTTTAGAAAAATAAGAGCGTGTTGGCGATATAAAAAGTTAAGTTATCACATCAAAATATACTGGAAGAAAAAAAATTTTGCGGGAGATTAAAACAAAAAACCAAAATGTTGGTTATATTGATAGTCACAGATATTTTTAGGTTATTTGAAAAAATAAATATAGACCTATTAATTACCGACTTACGATTTTGACAATTGTTTTTTTTCATGACTATTCTCGGATGATTTTTTCCCCGTTGAAAGGTCACCCCCCACCCTTCTGAACCCTAAATGGCACTTGATTTTTTTTCCTTTTTGAAGTCTCAAATCACAATGATGCTACATTGTAATTTGAGATTCGGTGAAACGGAAGAAGAGTATTTGACACAAGACTTGTTGGTATCTGTAATTTTACCATTTACCAAAAGAGACGGATAGCCGAACGGTAACGGTTTTGGAGTCGACACCCACTGATCGGTGGTTCGATCCTGAGCACGCTAATATTTTTTTATTTTATTTTTCTTTTATTAAGCTATTATTAATTTTTCGAAACAATTTAAGTAGCATAAAATATTTAATTTTGACCTAGAGAATTGAACTTTAACACAGGTGTTGTCTTTAAGACGTACCAACTCATGAAGGACTTTAACGTGTTCTCTTCCTCTTGAAAGGAGTTTCATTCTCATTTTCAGTATCACTACCGTTTTTTCAAAAACATCGCCTAAAGAGGTTTCTGATATCTACCTATAATGACTCAGGTAGCTATAATTTCCCGCTCTGTGAACAAGTTCTGATTAACGGGCAAACTAACTGCCTTTTGAATTTTGTTACTTTATTCGTTTTGTTCTCTTTGACGGGAATTCGGAAGTTTTCAGGAATGGTTGCCAAATTTGCGCGCAGATAAGTTTTTCCGACATTTCACTTTGTACTAGTTTTTTAAGGAATATTAGTGTAACATTTTCTTTTTAACAGTGAAATAGTTAGGTTTTTGAAAATTTGCTAACTCTGTTTTTATCTATATTGTTATAGACTAGTATCGCTTTTTTGGTGATTATCTTCTTCTTCATGTTCCTCTCCAATTACTGAAGGTTGGACATCAGCCTTGAAAACCTCGCTTTGTCCCTGGCGAGGTGAAACAATTCCGCGGCGCTCTTGACACCGGTCCACCCGCGGATGTTTCGAAGCCACGACTTTTTCCGACGGCCCACTCGACGTTTCCCCGCAATTTTTCCCATCATAATGAGTTGCAGTAAATTGTATCTCTCGTGTCTGAAGACATGACCGAGGTAGGCAACTTTTCTTGTTTTGATGGTCTGCATCACTTTGCGAGTTTGACCGACACGTCTTAGAACTTCGACATTTGTAACTTTTTGAGTCCAGCTGATTGAGAGCATGCGTCGGTAAGTCCACATTTCGAAAGCCTCAATTGATACGTCTACGAAGGTCTTCTTTAATAGTCCAAGCTTCGCAACCATAGAGGACTATAGGCCAAATGTAGCATTGAAGTAGACGAGTGCGCAGGGCAATACTGATATTGCGATTGGACAGTATTGATCTCATTTTGTTAAAGGCATTGCGGGCGATCTCTATTCGTGTTTTTATTTCCATATCACTTTTCCAGTCTTCAGTTAGCCAAGTGCCTAAATATTTGTATTTGCGCACTACGTCAAGCTTTACTCCGGAGACATTAATATTTGGACTTAAATTATTTCCTTTTGAGATGACCATGACTTTTGTCTTTTGTGCGTTCATTCTAAGTCCCGCCCTTAAACTGCACTCATTCAAACGGTCCACTATCACCTGAAGATCCGACTCCGAAGACGCCATGAGGACAGTATCATCAGCATACCGGAGGTTATTGATAACACGCCCGTTAACTTTAATACCGTAGTCTAGATCTGTCAAAGCTTCAGATATGATAGCTTCAGAATATAAATTGAAAAGTGTGGGTGACAGAATACAGCCTTGTCTAACACCTCTTTTGATGACTACGTCGTTGGTTTCTTCGCCCTCGACACGAACAGAAGCACGTTGGTTCCAGTACAGATTTGGAATAAGTCTGATGTCTTTTACGTCGAGTCCTATGTCGCTTAAGATGCACGTTAAACGCTCGTGAAGAACTCGATCGAACGCTTTCTCGTAATCTATGAAGCAGAGGTAGACGTCTTGCTGCATATCTTTACATTTCTGTATTAGAACCTGTACAGCAAACAGTGCTTCCCGTGTTGGTGATTATAATAATGGACAAATACTATGCAAAGGATCGATTTTCAATGTTTACTATTTTCTTAAATTCTTATCAATCTTGACATGATTATATTAGTAAAATAATATAGTCCCTAATCTGTGAAAAACACAGAAAGAAAAACCGGCCAAGTGCGTGTCGTGCCACGCGCAGTCTAGGGTTCCGTAGTTGCTCGTCGTTATCAAAATATTTTTTGGCAAGATGTTTATATTTTAAGCAATTACTTCGTCTAAGTTTCTTTTAATATTTTCTTGTAAGACATTTTTATTAGGTCAGATTTTTTTGTAATACATAAGTTGAACGACTTTTACTCTTAAACTAACAAATTTATTTAAACCATTATAATTTTCCTCAAAAGTTCATGAAAAGCACTATTATTAAATTTTTTCCCCGGTTTTCAAGGCAAAAATTTAGCTTTCAGAGGGACGCCCTACAAAAATTAGCAATAAAGTTCAATATTTCGCAATTTCGCTAACGGATCCTTAAATCGAAAAGTATGTAGTCTTATAAACCCCTTAGTAATTTTAAAAGACCTATTCAACGATAACTCGCCCGATTGAGTAGACGGTGAAAAAAAAAATCTCTGGGTTTCTCGTAGGGGAGGGAGGGGAGCTACACTAAAAAAATTTTTTTTCATAATTTTATTCTACCATTTTGTCGGGGTGATTGATATATACATACCTTCATAAAATTACTATGCTAACAGTCTCCAAGCAAAACCGGAGACGGACAGACAGGCATACTTGACGAAACTATTAGGGTTCCATGTCAGGACTATGGAATCCTAAAAATAACCTAATTAAACAGAACATGTTCTGGTTAAGTATGTGTACTATATAATGATTTTTTTCTCAAAACTGTCTGGTCTTATTTTAAGGCCCCCTTTGTATTTAAATGCAGTTGAGACCAAAATAAAACAAAGGTATTAATATTGGTTCTTGGATCACTTTCGCCCAGTCACCTGTCATCTGAATAGGTTCAGCGGTTTAAACGTGAAGTAGTAACAGACGGACACTCTCGTAAAATGTACTTAATATATTAAATGAATAAACTAGTGTGCCACAAAGGAAAATACATACATAATAGACTGTTAAAAGGGTAAAAGCGAAAGACAATTAAAGGGTAAAACACGAACATAAACGCCTTATAGCAGTGATAGGTACTTTACTGTTTGTTTCATGAGACATTATACACACTTACTGGGGGACGATACATTTCAGACCTTTGTTTGTTGACACTATCCCAAGCCCATCAATCTTCGGATTCCTCCCAGCTTATCTTGACCGTACACTTCATATTAAACTTAGTTAGAAACCTTCCTCGATGCCACGATGGAAGTATAAGGATGGGCACAATCTATTAATATTTTTCTTTTAGCAAGTAATACGTACATGGATTATGTACATACTTGCTGTCAAAATAATTTTAAATTTTTTATTTAACCTTGTTCACTAGCTTTCTAAATGCTATGCACTTGTGTTCTAAATGCTAGCGCAATCCGTTCAGTGCACAGAAATAAATTAATTAAATTCTGTTGTTCGGTGGTTTGAGCTGTTTATTGAAAGATTTATTTATTTATTTAATAATCACTTACATCTATCATTACAGGAATAACCTAATACAATAGAGCAGTAACAATACTACCAATTATTATACAAAAATAAAATACCAAACAAACATACAAAGAAAACAACCAAATAAGACATAACATAAACATTTTTATGATAGTTTACAATAAGCAGTCCGAGTGAATTCATTCAATATACATTAAAACAAGTCAATGTTCAGTAACAGACCGCGTATAAGTCGCGGCACGAAACTAGCGCTGACCGTTAATGCGCAGAAGTAAGTAAATTATGATGTCTTGGGGGGAAACGAGGTGCGCGGGTGGGTGTGCGTTGCGCCGCTTGTCTCTCCAGTCGTACCCATGCACAGCTATCCCCTCCGCGTTTTGTTCAGCGCTAGAGTTACGTGCCGCGATCGGTCTCCATCTTTATAAAACTACTTCTTTCTTGATTTAAAAATAATTCTTCATTCGCGGTACTTGAATCTACGCGGCGCGTCCACCATATGGAGTTCTACCCGGCGCCTCCACCATATGGTGTTCTACCCAGAATGGATAGAACCTGGGGACGTGGCTCTTCAGTAAAACAACTTGACGATGGTTATTATTTTATATTATCATTCAGGCGAATATAAAGAATTTTATCTAAATACGAGAGGTTTTCTTGGTACCTGAAGATCTACTCTTGAATCGAACCTTCTATCAAAAGACAGACGATTCCTTATTTCAAATCTCAAAATCATAACATTAACTTTTTAATATAACTGCCAACCGTAGGCATTGCAAAAGCAAAGAGTTTACCTAAACAAGGAGGTTGTAACGTCACGGACGTTACAGTACGCTCATACTAGAATCAAATAAAATATGATCCGACACAACTACATAAGCAACTCTCACACACGCACACGCCTATATATAAACATTCAATCAAGCGAGCGAGACAGAACTGTACGCTACGGCTGAGCTGTAATGTTATCCTTTTCTTGATAACAAAATGGCGATCACGTTAATAACATTCACGACAAACCGTGATTTTTGAGAGAAAAATATAGTTTTTATAGTTTTATGAATGAAAAGTGCCGCCGAAGCATTTGTTA